GAACTCATGTATCAATAGTCTGTTTCTTTTCATTGAGGAGTACTACACTGTACATAGATGTGTTTACTATTTATGTATCCATTCACCTCCTGATCGATAGTTAAGTAGTTTCATTTGAGGAGGGTATGAATGGATTTTCTACCTCGTATCTTTTCTTTTTCTATACTGGGGATTGAACCCCCCACATCCCACATACCAGGCCAGTTCTCTACCATTGAGAGACATCCCCAGCCTCCTAGTGTAAAAGCCCCACCACAGACATCAAAGGTTCTAGTTTAATTCCCAGTTCCCAACCCTGCCGTGGGGTTAGATCTTCTTGTTTACCATTTCTGGAGTGTATGGTTGTAAACTGGTTGTAAACCCCCTGCCCTTCCTGGACTCCCAAAATGTACTGTTCTCCCGGTAAATGCTCTACCCTCCCGGATTGTTGGAATGTACTGTTCCTGCCATAAAAAATCCCCTCATTGTTACAGATGTGACATGTGTTTGCCAAACAGGATGCGGTTTTAGGGTTTAAAAGCTACTCTCGCCCCTAGATCAGCACTGGTCTGATCCTTCCCTGCATGGAGGCTCTCAGTCAGTCCCTGGTCAGGAATAAAGGCTCGTCCTAAATTCCAATTGGCGGTCTGTGTGTCTTGGTGTTTGTCGGTCGGTACCATTTGGTTCATTTCTGGTTGTGAGTCCAGAACAGTAGTATATCTTTAACGGATTCAGTTTTCTAATTGAACCAGCTAGAGTTAGTGTCTGTGTCTTTCGGTGAAGAATCAGACTATGATTCCTCTGTAACAAGAATGTCCCCAGATCTCACTAGCTGAGGGTACAAACAAGGTCACTCTCTCGCTTACTTTGATAGTGAAACACCCCACACCTGTGTAACCACAGTACCCCAGATTCCATTTTGCTGTGATGGGGGGACAGCCTCAAGCATCCTGTGCCACTGCAGGAGGAGGACTCCGTGCTCAACAGCCTCAGTGATATAAGGGAAAGCAAGGCCCAACCTGAAAGATATCGGGACGAGTTCGTGTTCTCTAATATTGAAGAATGAATTTTAGGAACAACAAAGTAAGAGCAGAGTATATTTATTGAGGGAAAGAAAGCTTCTGCCCAAGAGAGGGACAGAAGGGGGCCTGAGTGGGATGCCAAGGAACTTGTCTTTCTTAGGGACTTTTATAGAGAAAAACCATGAGTTGAGGCAGATCCAAGGTGGGGAGAAATGGGAAATCGCAAGGTGGGCATGAGGTGGGACAAAACTATGGTCAGTCAATAAGATTACAAGTATAATTGTTCAGGTAAAATTGATTAAATCGGGATCAAATGGGGAAGTGAGTCACTTAGTAAGAGGGCATGAATATAGAACAGGGGCTTTTCCTGTAGGGGGTTGGGTTAGTGGCTCTTCCTGGCTTTTTCAAGGTGATTGACACCTATTTAGAATATCAATCCCTAATGTCCATCCCTAGGGAGGTATGTGGTGCATTTGTTAATCTTTTGTCTTGAGGTCTGGCCCACAGCGGAAGTGCTTCTCTCTCCTACAGTTGCAAGGTATCTTGTCATCCATACTGGCTCCTTCAAGGGCCTGGCCCTGTCTGACTGCCTATAATATTTCTATCTAACTCAGGTGCCTACATTAGTCGGCGATTGCCCCCTCATTGCTTCCCTCTTTGATGGTAGGTAATGACTTGTGAATCCAGCTCTTCTTGGTTTCTATTCCTAGAGGGCCAGGAGGGATCTGGAGGCCTCACTCATTGCAGAGTTTAATGAGCCAAATGCTTAATCCTACATATGCCCTTCCTTCGTTAGTGCTCCACTGCTGCCAAGGGGTAGACGCAGGTGTAGTCGGTGTGCTGTGCCTGGCACCACCGTGTCCTCCAGCCTTGGACCCTCTGTTAAGTCCTGCTCATCTGCTCTGCATGCCTCCCCCTGGCAACTAATCTAATGGTTATGCCTACAATTTGGCCTTTTCTGGAATGTGACATAAATAGAATCACAAAGATATGACCGTTGAGTTGGCTTTTCACTTAACATCATGCTTATGTGATTCATCTACATTGTTCCATGATACTTTTCACTCATTTTTATTGCTGAATAATAATCCCATCAGAAGGCTGAACTGTCTTTCATTTATCCACTCATTCATCCCTTAATGGACACTTGGGCTTAATTAGGGTTTGACAATCAAAAATACAACTGCTATATGCATTAGCTTTCAGGTGTTTCTGTAGATGTACGTTCCTCTTTCTTTTGAAATACTCAGGGGTGAATTTGCTAGGTCAAAATGCGTTACAGACCTAAATGTAACAGTTGACAACTACTAAACTTCAATAATAACATTTCCAATAGGAATTCTTGCAATGATGGAAATATAATTCTATGCTGTGCAGCACAGTAGCCATTAGCCTAGTGTGGTACAAAGTATTTGAAATGTGATTAAAGAACTGAATTTTAAATTTCACTTAATTAAATTTTAATTAATTTAACTTTAAGTAGGGATATTTGGCTACCGGCTTCATATTAGACAGTGTACTTCTAGAAGAAAACACTGGAGAAAATCTTTGTGGCTTTGGTTTAGACAAAGATTATTTAACACACAAAACTCATAAGCCATAAAAGAAGTCCATTGAGAAACTACTCAGTTAGGTTTCTTAATTTGCTGTTTTTCCAAAGACATTCATAAGAAAATGAAAAGACAAGCCATGGATGGAGAAAGTATCTGCAAAGCATATATCTGATCATGGATCCTTACAATTTAAAAACAAGAAAACAAACCTAATTAAAAGATAGGGAAAATATTTGAACAGATTCTTCACCAAACAGATATGGATAGCAAATAAATTCATGAAAATATGTCCAACATCATTACTCTTCAGAGAAATCCAAATTAAAACTGTCTTCAGTGAGCCTAACACCTACCTGATAGGGACAGAAATTTTAACCAAATAGAAAGAAATGGACACAAAAACTGGGATGACTGGTGTGGTGCTATGGGAACCTGTATTAGAGATAAGGGATCTCACCTAGTTGGTGGGAGATGGGGACAGCATAGGATTCTCCGAACAAGTGACAATGACGCTGAGGCTGAAGGGTGAGGAGAGTTACTATCAAGAAACTAAACTGGAATTGACTGAAAGACACAAATAATGGTGACTGATACTTCAAGAAGAGGAGAGTTGATCCTCCCTAGCCTGAGAAAAGGGATGGGGTAGAGAGGTAGGTGGTGGACCATTAGGCCCTGATGTAGTTCCCTAGATGTGGCAGAACCTGTGGGTGGTTGAGCACTACATATGGGGCCAGAGGACCACAGAACACTGCAATGGGACACTGGCTGTCACGAGTTCTTAGCCATCACTATCGCTTGCCCTCGAAAAAGGAGGGTTCCTGTACCACCTTCCAAGACGCTACCAGCTGTGTTCTTGCTTAATTCATACAGAAATTACAAATTGGCAGAGTAGCTCTTTTGGTGTCAGTGGCCCTCCTTGTCACTCAGAGCCAACAGCCACCAGCAGATCTCAAGACCTCTTCTGGCACCAGAAGTGGCAGCCTCTAGCTATTTTTCATTACTCTCTGGTGTTCTCTGCTGCCGGCTGCTCTCAGCGCTGCCTGCCTCTGGTACCAGCGGCCTCTGGTGTCAGCAGCTCTTCGTGTACCAGCTCAGTATGCTCTCCTTGAGACAGAAATCATGAATAGGCAAGGATCTGCCACCAGGAAGAGGTTTTATTAGGACTTATGTCACCACCCAAGGGGACAGAGTGCAGAGAATGAACTCAGTAAGGGTGTGGGAGGTTGCTTATAAAGAATAAAGGCAGGCTGGCACATGTGCAACATCAAACTTTCTGTATGCTCATGGGGAGGGGCAGAGCTCTTTTTGGGCCTGAATGAGGGAGCTGCAGAGGGGCAGAATCATGCAGACAGGCTGCAGGACAGAGTGGTGCAGGATGGGTCTGTGACTGAAGCCTGCTGCAAATATGTCCTGTAGGGGCTGTGGGACGCCCGATACAGCCAGGCTGCCTGCAAGGTGTTAGGGGGAGCACAGAATAAAATCATCTTGTGGGGAGCCTTCTCTCTGTCTCACAAGGGGCTTTGTCTTCTTTGCACCCTCATGTATGTGAAGGGTAGTGAAGGATTACCACATGTGAATACAAAAAGCAATGGAACACAATTCGTGCGGAGCCAGTATATGCAGTGGCCTGGACCCTAATCTGGAACACTGCGGTCCACATCTCAGTGTTACTGATCAAGAGCTTTGTGTCTTGAGCAGTTACTTGACTTCCCCGGGCCTCGGTTTCCCCAACTGTAATGTAAGCAGGTATTTCATCACGTGGTGGGGAAAATTTAAATGCCAATACACGTGAAGCTCTTGGAAGAGTCTAGCACAAAGCATTATATATGTGTTAGAGAAAATGTAACCGCCAGATGTGAGGGCCTACCCAAATTTCTTGGACTCCATAAGGAGGTGCTGGTACAACCTATGAAAGAAAGAAGAGCTCAAACTGGGCAGAATTTCCAGCCAAACTGTGGGACACGGTTGAAACTGGGCGGGTGGCGGAGACATAAAATGTTTGCCCCAAGTTCTCAGATCACTTCTCTTTCTGGTGCACGCGCGCGTCCACAAGGGGTACGCATTCCAGGAAAAGTAGTACTACAGCTGAGTGCAGGGCCGCTGCAGGGATCTGCGGAGCAGCCGAGCAGCCGAGCAGCCCTACACGGCGAAGGGGCAGGGCGCGGGCACTGGGTTGGAGAGGGGCTTGGGTGGGCAGCCTGGGAACCACCTCGCCATTGCGGGAGCAGGACTCCGGGGAAATGTCCCTGCATGTGAAACGCTCTGTCCCGAGTCCTGTGCTCCAGCCTTTTGTTCTAGGAGAAAGCAGAGCAGGCGGTAAAGCACGACCTACCTGGGCAGAGGAGCGAACCCTGGGAGGTCAGAAAGACAAGCAAGCAAACACGCCCGCCCCAACCCGTCGTCCTCAAAAAAAAAGAAAGGAAAAAAAAAAAAAAATCGCCTAACAGTGAACAGGGCCGAGCAGGGGAACCGGCGTCCGAGGTCGGGAGCGGGGCGCGGGTCCAGGTCTCCGGCAGAGGCCGCTGCAGCCGCCGCGGGACGCTGCGTCACTGAACTGCGTGGCTTTCTCGTCGCACCTCCGTGCCGCCCGTCACCTGCAGGTGAGTCCCGGCCCAGGTGCGGC